AAATAAGCCTCCCCCCCTGGCTGCTCTGCCTCTCAGGCTGAAGCCTTCTTGACAGAGTGATTTCCCCCCCCCGCCCCCCGTCTTCTATTGGACCACCTACTGCGGCGCTCTCTGCAGACACACCTTGGACGTTCATGCTTGTATTTATTTTACTTTTCTCCCCGTTTCACACAAACGGCCGACTCCAGCTATGAGGCGGCTGAGGAGCAGACACCCAAGCGGGGTGGGGGGGGGGGAGGTCAGGGTTCAAGCGTCGGGTCAGGGGGATGGAGCTGAGGCCAGGGGAGAGTTTGGCCAGGGCCAGCCAGCTGTCACCTTGAGGTGTTTGCTTTGTGATTAATCCCCCCCCCCTGGCTTGTTTATTTTTGGCTGCCTTCACAGCTGGCTCTAGCTCGTCCTACAAAAAGCAGACGCGTCCCTGATCGGCCGGGACTTTCGGATCGAGGCCGGGCCGCACGCTGGAGGATGCCGAGTGCCGCCCCTATTCGCAGTTCGCTGAAACACGGTCCTGCTAAGATATTTTCACGTCATTAACCTGTCAGCCCCTGAAGAGCCCCCCCCGACCCACGTGGGCATGTGCACACAGGTCTCTGCCACCTCGCCCTCCGTCTGCAGTCCCCCAAGCAGCCAAAAGGCTTGGCCTCATGTGGAGCCCCACACGACCAGTGACACGGGTTCGAGGCTCTGGAGGCAGACGGCACATGTCTGCCTCCCGGGTAAAAGCTCAGGGCCGGAGCAAGGTGACGTTTATGGCTCTTCGATCGCTGCTTTGGGAGATTCTCCACCTCCCAGTTCAATGGGGGTGTCCTCCCCTCCCCCCACCTCCCTGAACCCCTGAGTGTTTTGGTGCGTTCGACTATTTCTCTCCAAGTCGGAACTCGGATGAAAACGTCACGATACGTCACGAAAAACATCACTTCCCGTCGGAAACACGCCCCTTTTATGACGTTGAAGTCGGATAAGATTTTGTTGCCCGAGTTGCCCTAGTGACGTAATTTCAACATGGCGACTTGGTTTGTTTGTAGTTTATTTACTGTTCGAAAAAAGAATATCGCTATGAATGTACTAAAATATTTTATAAAGCTTTTAATGTGGTTTGACTAGTTCGTGTTTCTTGTTTGTCTCTCGGAAAAATCTAAATTTCTCCATTTTCTTCATTTGTAAAACTCCAAATCTGCTAAAATATAAAGCAACAATACACAGCAACGTGTTCATGGAGGCAGCCATGTTTGTTCCGAGATGTGGGTAGCTCGAACGGGAGATTGTCGGACGTGATGTCACTCAACTCGGAATTTCCGAGTTCCGAGAGAAAAACGAACGCACCATTTGCTTTAGAGGTGTGATGTCATCACCAAACAGGCCTGTGTTTCTGTATCAGACCGTGTCTCCTCCTGTAGGCTACAGTGCGCTTGTGTGCACAGGTGAGTGTGAGTTTGTGCACGTGTAGGAGTAAGAGGCACGGGTGTCAGGGTCACAAGGTGTAGGCTGTGTAAAGTGTGTTTAAATTAAAAGGTACTTTTGTTTGTTATGTGTATCTTATTTCCTTTCTTGATCTATTTTCTGCTGGGGGACTTTTTGGAATCTTAAGGGGTAACAAGTCTGGAAATAAGTGACAGGCATGTCTCCAAGCCTTCAAGGAGATAGTCTTGGCGTTACACAGGAACAGTAGGGTGTTTGGAATATATTCATCGTCCGTGCCGGGTGCCCCCGCTGTCCCAACAGGCCTCCTGACGTTGCGATTCTTCTGATAGTTTTCATATCTTGAATGATGGAAAATATTACGCAGCTGTGTCTTAGAGGTGAAAACTGTTTGGGGGTGGGGGGTGAATATAGGGTGTAAGTTTTCATGAGGATTCCAAGCCTGAAAGCCAAGAATTTATGTGTGATCTGTGTCTGTGTGTGTGTCTGTCTGTCTGTCTGTCTGTGTGTGTCTGTCTCTGTGTCTGTGTAAGCACAGGTGCTCCATCAGGCTGACACAGGGAATGGAACAGAGAAATCTGTCTTCTCCCACACTTCCATCATTTTCCCTCCATCCTTCCCCCAAGCTAGCCCCCCATTCCTCATTCTTGCCCCCCCCCAGCCCTGTCAGACCCACAGACCTCTTCTGGCCCCCCATCCCTAACGCCTTCGTGCTTAATGACTGCCCCCTGACCCAGCTCTCATTTTTGCCTTCATCTGCCCCCCTCCCTTCTCTCCCTCCCACCCTCCTCCTTGGAGGAGCCCATTATTCCTCCCCCTGCTTCCCCCCCCCCTTCTCCGTGGGCTATCCCTTACTGTCACCTTGACATCAGCTCAGAGGCAGGAGGGAGATGGGATGTGGAGAAGGATGAGTGGGGGAGTGTGGGGGGAGTTGGGAGAGGATTCTGGGTAACTGAAAAGAAAAACACAGGGACTTGATGAGAGAGGATTTAAAAACAGCCCCCCCCCTCTTTATCTGTAGTTTCTTTGTGTTCATTCACACCCATGGCCGCATGCATGAGTTGCAGTGATGAAATGAGGGATGTTGCTGCTCTAGTTTAATGTGTGTGCTCACATCCATGCACGTGAGCCCTGTCTTAACACTGATCTAACCTGCAGGGGCGTGTGTATGGGGGTGTGCACTCCTCGAGCCTGCGGAGGGGGTCATGGCGATGATCTCGGAGCAGGAGCCCTGCGCTTATTGCTTTGTCCAGTGAGGCCAGGTTTTATACAAGCTGCAGAATAACAGGATGCCCCCCCCCAGATTTTGTGCATTTTCAGATTCACCTGTCAGAGTACTTACTACAGCCCTGACCGAGATAAAAATCTCAGCTTGGATTCTGACCCTCACTCGAACTCAAGCTGACTCCCCCCCGCCCCCCCCGCCTTTTCTGGAGCTGGTCGGCATGGGTGGGTTACGTTGCACACGTAACATACATATCTATTCTCTGGGAAAATGTGTGTGCAATCATGCTGAGCCCTCCAGGGAGACGCCAGCCCATTCGGAGCGGGTCTGGGCCTTGGCTGGCTCTTGGGTTCGGATTCGGACTCGTGGCATCTCTCTCCCCTTTGGCTCTGCTGCCCTGCTTGAGTGCATCTGTTGAACACATAAACGGTAGATAGCAAGTGCAGATACATAGGAGGGATTCAATAAAACTGTCCTTGGCGGAGGAACTCGTGTTTCAGCACCTTTTGGGAAGCAGGTTCAGAATCATGTCCAGTTTCCCGCGGGTTGCGGATGCTGGCTGCAGCGGTGCTGTCTATGCTCCAGAGTAGAGGTGGCCTCAGTCTCGCTGCTCCTTTTTTCCCTCCTTTTGCATTTTGCTCTCGTTCCTCTTTGACGGAACTGAATCATATAGCCTGGGAAGAGAACGTAGGAGGGAGGTGGGAAATGTCCTTTTGTTGTAGTTGGGAGTCTTGTCTCAAGTCCGGCACGTTGTTTACTGGAGAATTAGCTTAGCCTGTCGCAGGCTACATGGCTCACGTTCCAGGGTCTGTTTATTTTTCTGTTTGCTTCAAAAAAAACAAAGGTTTCAGCTCCCCTGGCACCCGGGGGAACACGCTGGCCAGCTCGTGCAGCAGTTGAGCCTTGTACACGCTTTGGGGAGCACAAAAAGGGGGTGCAGTTTAACGTTACACCACACATGCGTGTGCTGTAGCACGCAATACCAAGGAATCTGGTAGAAGGGTCTCCTGACTTTTCTTCTCTTGCGGCTTCCTCCGGTAAACAGGACCTTGTTTTGTTGTAGGGTGGTTCACTACCCGCCTGAATGGCCACACAGTTCATCTCCACTGACGCATCAGTCTCCCCCCGTGTGGCTTCCGTCTTTTTTTAGGTGGGGAGGGAGTAGGCGGTCTATTTTCGCACTGCGACAGGCTTCTGTAAACAAACTCAGAGCTTTCGCCTGTGCATGCCGACAGACGACCCTGGGGCATAATGGACTTTCTAAGTGAAGAGTGTAACTTGGCAGAAATGTTTGACCTGCCCACCCACCCCCCAGGCATATATGGGCGTGTTGAGGGAAGTAACGTCGCCCCAGCGGCGGTGAGCCCCTCTTTTTCTGACTCATTTCAGGTGGAACATGCTGGTCAGGGCGAGTGGGTGTCGGATATCGGGTCGGGAGATCTGCATTCCAGCCCACCTGCTTAAGATGGCATGAGGAACATCACGACGCGTGCTAGCTGAATGCTAATTTAGGGTTTACTTCCAGTAACTTCACAAAGGACCCGTTGACCAGATGGACCAAAGCTGGTTTTCAGTTCACTGCCCAGATGTTTTTTGCTGCCCTTATTCAGGGTTTCAGATGCAGGACAGTCAGAAGAGATGGTTTTGTTTATGGCGCAAGGCTTGCATTTGAGGCCTATGATTGAATCCAATCTTCTTGTCAACAAAAGGCAGCCGGTGGCCCCGATTCTTCACGCAAGGCCAAAATGATTAAATCTGCAGAGAATGTGACTTAGCAGCACATTAAAGTTAATCCAGCGTTCAGTCAGTCAGATAAGGCCTCTATGTTTCTACACCTCACACCAAAATAAAACCTGAAAGTTCTGGAAAGGGCCTCTTTATTTAGTAACCCCTCCTTTGTTTTGTTGCTGTATTGACTTATTTGTGCTTCTGCCCATTTTCTGTAAAAACATTTTAATATAATTTGGTGCCAAGGTTTATGACTCTAAATAAGCATGCATTAATCATATTTTATATTTCATGATACATGATTACAAAATTAGGTAAATATAATGTTAAACATGGTTTTAGTAGGAATAAATTTATGGTGCAACTCTATAAAACAAATTTAAGCCTGTTAAGGTCATTTTGTGACTTCCATTTTTCTCATTTGCTATAATCTCTCCCTCAGTCTCTATGTAAAATGTGTCTGTGCTGTTTTCTTCTCCTTTCTCCTTCTGCCTGATACCTTTGGTTTTTGAGGTGGTGTGTTTGGCCAAAGAGTGTCCATGTCAGCTGCAGATTGGAAGGTATCACATTCTACATAACTATCACACACCTTCAGACTATTCTCCCTCTCTGCCCTCATCTGTTCCAGGGTCAGTACAAACCTTCGGACCTCCTGTGCCCGGAGACATATACTTGGGTGCCCATAGAGCGCTGCCTGCCACTGCTTGAAGCTTCGGTTTATGCCCGCCTTAACCAGGACCCCGACACAGGTACTACGACCATTTGTTTATAGGTATCCGTCATGGAGGCAGAGGGTGGGTTTTAACACATGCTGTCAAAAAAGAGGGATCAGTAAGGAATTGCATTTAAGTCAATTTTCTCCCATTGAACTGTTAGGCTACCAGGCTACGAAGATGATTGATAACCAGCAGGATGTGGTTCTAGGCACCTAAAGCAAAGACACTGAACCAGGGGTGAATCTCAATACCAAGAATGCAAAGACCGAGATTCCAGAACCATGACCCTGTTGTCAGGCAGACTTTCAACATGCCAGGTTCTGTCAGTCAGTTGTTCTACAGAATCAGTTTGTGTTTTATTCTGACTTGTTAGTTATGGGTTATGGCAGCATCAGAAGCCACCAGAGCATCTTTGCAAATATGCTGGACTGGGATCAGTTATGGGAAAGTCAACATGTGCTAATGCTTACTCTACATGAACATCTCCATTGGTCATTTGTTCCCAGTGTGCTCCCTGTCTTGTTTTATAGTGCGTACATGAAGTTCTTCTAGGTTCTAGCCCATTACCTTTCGTTCTTTCATACCCTTCTGGTTCTAGCCCGGTTGCCGGTGAGCATTGGGTCATTGAGGCAGGGGGCAGGCACAGAATAACAAACAGTGTCGCCACAAGGCGCCGCGATGTGTGAGAGAGACGCCTTCACGGCTGCGGTGTGCTTTCGATCACCACTCCTTCGTCTCCGCTCCAACTGGCCGTCGCCTGCTTCAGCTCTAGGGAGATTTCGAAAGACAGTGCAACCTCCCTCCCCTCTGTTCCCTTTCCCATTGCTGCACTCCCAGGGTCTCCCTGTGCTGGGCTGCCCACAGCCTCATCCGTCTAACCGGCCCCATTGGCAATGACATTATCAAAATCCAATAAGAACAGCCAGATCCAGCCCCACTTTGCCCCCATGTGCCCAAGATTTCCTTCCATCTCTGAGGCTATTGTGTTCCCTCTTACTGGCTGCGAAACTGATGCTCTTCCTTTGCTTGGAGTTACCCATGTGTTTGGTAAGAAGTCAACAAGAGTCTTCAAAGTCCCTTTGGGCAGAAGCTTTTTAGGAACAAGTTGAGTTATTGTGGCCTCCGACTGTAGACTGTGTGGGGTACCTTGTGTGGGCTAGACGGTGGCTGCTGGGTCTTAGGTCTTTCTTGTAGTTCACCCATCCACATATACTCAACTTATACCATGACACCAATCTCCCAGTGATCAAGCCTGGCTCGAAATAGCTTTATGTTTATTTTGGCAGACAAATGCGGGAAAGTAGGCTTGGTGGAGCGTCTGTCTCTCACATAGAGGTTTACCTAACCTGACTCTTGCTCCTTCTCCTGCCAACTGGCCCTAACAAAAGATAGGAAAGCACAGTGACGATGTGGGGGGGCGGGGGTGCTGGAGCTGGACGACCTCCTCCAGAACGCAGTTCATTGTTCCAGCGGTAAAGATGGTTTACTCTTCTTTTGGCCAACATGGTGATGTCATACTTGGCATGGCTGCCTTGCATGGAGGAAGAATGATGGAGAGGAGAATCCCAGTCCTTGGACGAGGTTGCCATGGAAAAGTTGACCCTTCCATCCTCTTTTTCTCTGCTCCTCCTTTCTAGGCGGAAATTCCCTGTTTGCGACCTCTTGTTTGGGTTTTTTGCAGTGTGCTGGGATTTGTAGAGGCTTTTAACTCATGCATTTGTGGTCAAGCAGAAAGTTACGTGCATAAGAGCTGCAAGGCCTTTCGGCTGAGACAGTTGTTCCAGAAGTTGCATTCTGCCTCTGTTGCCTTGTTTGAAGGGTGTGACTCTTGAGTCCTGCTGCGGCTTGTTTTTTGCTCGTAGGTGGTTATGCCCCTCCCCTAGACTCTACGTTTGCACTGGGCCATGGTGCTAGTAGCTTTCAGTGGATGTAATGGTTGAGATTAGAGAGATAAATGTCCCAGGATCAGTGGAGGTCTTGGCCGGAGACCTTGCCATCAGATAGCAACAGTTTTTTTTAAAAGGGGTTTCTGCACCAAATCCTTTGTCAGCAGTGCCTTCTGGGTAAGCTTATCTGCTTAGTCCTCCTGTCAGGGTCTGGCTTCATTTAATCATGAGTCGCGTCAAAAACATGCATTGGAAAAACACCCGCGGGACTCGGCATCAGTGAGAGCGCTGCAATTAGCGCCTTTGCAGCCACTGAGATTCCGCTAACCGTTCTGAAGCAGACCCTGAACCAGCACTGAAACAGCCCAGTGATTTTCCCGAGGCATACAAGAGACGAAAGGACTCTGAGGTCAGGGATTTCTGTAAAGGGGACTAGTAAGGGCTTTGTATCTTCAGTTTGTTCTTTCATACTTATTATATATTGTAATCTATTTATTTCTTCTAATCTATCTTATCTTTCTATGGTCATTTATTCACTGTTGAGTGTCCTGAAACTTTGGACGGACTCACTGATAGCCTTCTGACGCATACACAGACAGGTTCTGAATCCTGTCCATCTGCGGGGACTTTTCATTGACGCTGACTTGAGCTTTATTAATCATTCTTGTCCTCATCCCAGAAAAATCACCTTCAGATATGGGGACTGACCTCAAGCTGCACTCGTTTAGCCTTTTTTATAACCTGTAAAAGAACAGCAGATGTCATGAAAACTGTGTCCCCATCGTCTGAAGTTTTTGCCTTACGTCTTTCCCTCCTGCTCTGAATTTGTCCCTCCGAGCATGCTGGGATGCACGCACACCACGGGAGGACTCAGGCCCATTCCCACAGCTATTCCTTTATTGGAAGCGTATGGGTGGATGGATGGTGTGTGCGGGTCTTGAGCCAAGCCGCTGATTTGAGGGGGAGGGGAGAGGAACAGAGGGATTCTCCGGATTGGCTGGACAGGGTACAGGGATTTCCGGAAGATGAATGGGACAGGGTACAGGGATTTCCGGAAGATGAATGCCCCCCCCCCCCCACTGCTGCAGCCCACGTCTCTTTTTGCTTGAGGCGTGTTAGTGCTCACTTGAACATCTTCACTTGGTCAATAAGAGGCTTGGGAACATAGCTCTGGCCAGGGCTGTACTGCCCTTCTGGCATACCTGGCCATAGGGTATATCATGGGGAAACCCCCCACCCACCCCTCCAGTTTGCAAAATTTACCGTGGGGCCATGGGGGCACCCTAAGTCCAGGGCCAGGGTTTTAAGGAGTTCAGCCCTGGCTTTAGCTCATAGCGTGGAAGGCGGGAGTCAGCCCACGGGAATCGCCCCTGGGAAACAACTATGCAGATTGGGCAAGTAGATGTGCTGATGGGGATCTTTAGGTTATAAGATGAAGGTCTCTAGATGGCTTTTTGTATAGATGGTTCAGGCTTAGGCTGTCTTGAACTTTCGGGGCACTGTTTCTGAGAATATGGCAGGTGAAGATCTCCATGATGGGTAGGATCTCACTGCTTTTACATTCATTGGTCACCCTGGGGTTCTGCTTCTGGCCAAACCAATGTGGCTGGGAATGTCAAGACTCCTATGGACGATCTCCTCTGACCTTGACCCTTGCCCTTAAAGACTGGTGTGCCCGAGGTGAACCCAAGGACGATGGAGCCTCCGGGCCTGGTGGAGGATGAAGGTCTGGTGTTTTTCAGGGAGAGAGAGGGAGAATGGGGCATGTTTATACCCTTTGCGGATGTTTGGACTGCCCCACTCTGCTCTCTGGATAGCCCTGCTCAGTGTTACTACTGAGGTTAATTTTGCAGCTAAAAGCTTTTTAAATCACTGTTTATTACAGTTGTTTGATTTTCCTTTCTTCTTCCCTCCTGATGTGTCGTCGGACTTCCATACTTTTTCATCCCCTTCGGTATTTTCCAAATGGCAATGAGTGGATTTCAGTGCATCGCAGTTGTATCAACCCAGATATTAACATCTGTGTCCAGAAATTTGCAGAATACACGCTGATCGTTTCAGAAAAGATTTCTTTGTTGCTTTTTATGTCTTCAAGCTGCATGACGTCTTTTCACAGACCGCTGGTTCTGGATGTTTATGGTCGAATGTTGTCTTACCACGCTGGCTAATTTTACTCTCCGGTATCCGAGGATGGGGCTGACTGGATGTTTTTGAGCAGCGAGGGGTGATGGAAAAATAGGAGAGAAAAAACGAAATGCGGATGAAATAAAACGTCAAGCTGTTGACAGACAGTCTAGATGTACCTGGTCTTCATTTGCATTCTGGATAAGTTTAGGGATCCCAGAGGCATTTTCTGGCATTTACTTTTTCAGAAAATCCAGCAAAAACCATTTCTGAAGATGTTTGGCTGACGGGGGAGGGTGGATGAGAAGTAGAGCAAATATCCAAAGATTATTCTTTTTTTGTGATCAGATGCATGCCTCAGGTCTCCTTTCTACTCTGTTTTTTATTCTCTCATAATTTGGTTTAATGTCTTTGATGGATTGTTTTTTGCAGTATTCTGCCCCCACTGGAAAGGGAGGGAGGTGGCCTTGCACCCTAATCAGCCAATCAGAACCCGGGCAACAGGAAGTGGAAGGCGGGGAGGGGGGGAGGTTGCAAGTCCTCGTCTCCTCAGCCTTTTCTCCAGTCTCTTGTTCTCCTCTTTTATGTTTTTTTTCCACCTTAAGAGCTGAAGGACGGCAGTTGGACTATTGGAGCATTTAGTGGCGTTACTTTAAAAGCTGGGTAAAAAAGTGCAGGCAGCTTCCTGTGTATGTGAAGGGACACGTGAGAGTGAGCGTATGCGAGAGCACTGATCCTATTCAGCTGGGCACCATATGAGCACAGCTGTGCTCTGGCCGCCGTCTTTGACTCCAGTAAAGGCATTACTGAGGCATCACCCCCTCCACAGACACTATTGACATGACAGACTAGTAGGCTGATGACTCTGATCGGAATAAAGCTGTGCAATTTTTTTGAAATTTAATCTTCATTTTGTAATCTTTTTTTCTCAGGTTTCTGCCAGGGGTTTTTAGTTTCATTGTGATTTGGCTGCTTCTGAAGACCTATAGACCACTGAAAGTTGTTTTTATATTATGTCAGTTTTTTTTTTTGAATTATAAGCCCCACTGTCATTGAAGCCGTTATGGATGAACATTACCCATAATCCCCAGCCCGGCGTGGTGCTGCGGGGTGTGCTCTCCTCTGCTTTATATCGGTTGGCCGTAGGGGGTAGGCCGTTTATCATGGCTGCTGTCATCCCCTTCAGACCTAGGTAGGCCTTTTTGTGTGTGTGTGTTTTTTTTCCCAACATTATTATATTCTACAAACAGTCCCCATAAACCCTTGCGTTTGGCTTAAACAATGTTCCTTTCATGGCTCTTCAGGGAGCGTGGTGGGAGTTTACAGACTGTGTAATGAGTGTTTTGAAAGTGGCAAGGAATGAGAACCTGTAAACAATCCAGCCACCCTAACCCTGCTCACCCCAGGTAATATGGGGGGGGGGGGGGGGCACTGTTATTCATTGTCTTGCTCAGATCTTTAGTCTGCAGAAAACACTCAGCCTCCCCCCGTCACTTTTTTCCATCCCATGGGGCTTCATATCCCAGTATGCTACCGTGCTAAGGAGAACAGAGCTACGCGCCGTCGTCGTTCCTGCACAGCATCCAATAGCACATGGGGTCAGAGGTCGGCACGGGGCAAACCTGAGGCCGAACGGCTTTGCTGGGCCAAGCAAGGAATGCAGAAACAGGAGTATCGGATATCGTGAAATCGGTTGTTTGCATGTGGAAACAATGTTCTTCCGTTAATGACTGGGACGTGTTGAGGAATGTTACCAGGTACCTGGATTCTCTGCGACTGCCACGGCCACCCTGTTGGGTGGCACAACAAGCCCTCTGATCCATATGTCTGCCTGTGTTTTCCAGGGGAAGAGAATGCGCTGAAGAACATGGATCAGGCGCTGGTGCTCCACCAACGCAGCGTCATGCCCTACCGCATCTACAAACGGAAGTGTAGGGGCTCCACTGATGAGCAGGAGGTGGTGCAGTATGCCCGCCTCGTGGGGCAGGCCTGCGCGGAGAGGATGCTGTTGTACAGAGCATGACCACCAGAGGGAGCTTCTGTAACCTTTGGTGGGAGGGGCAGAGCTTCTGTGACCTTTAGAGGGGGTGGGACTTCTGTGACCTATGTCGTTTTTTGTATATCTCCATTTCACTCATGTCACCGCCTGGAGTCTGTCACCGTGTTACCTTGATACGTTAAATGAATGTTTAGAGTCTGTCACACCTTGCAAACGGGCAAATTCCTTTACGGTTGAAGTCCCGCTGTTAGTAATCTGAAGTCACTGAGCTGTCAAACAACAGACCATTGTCCTTCAAATTGGTCTGTAAGACTTCAGATGCTAATATGCTTTAAAAAAAAACACACACACACATATCAATTCCTGTCTCTTGAATTGGACTTAATTCTTTTCAGTAGAACGAGAGTCCAGAAATCCCTGGTAACAGTGTTTTTCAAATAATAATCAATCTGCTGAGACATTTCTCTGCTCTCAGCATCCCAGCCTTGGTCTGATGCTTTTCCTTCCAGCTTGTTTCCCTAGTTGGGGCTTGACTGCCTCTGGACGATAAAATGTTTCGTAGCTCCTCAAGCAAGCCAATCCAATGTCAGCAGTTCGATGAGGCTAGTGGATGGAGCAGTTTGAAAGGACACGCCGCAGTCTCTCTTCTTCTGGAAGATTCCTATACTGTAGCAAGGGTGGAATAATCTTCAGATCCTCAAGCTGTCCAAATCCAGCTCATTGAGGTTTCAGACTGTGCCCTGGTGGAGCCATCCCATCATGCCTCATGGCTGCCAAACAAGCGGACAGCAGACCTCGACTGTCTGCTTGACTTTTGCTTTCATCTATGGATGAAGGGGCAGCGTGAGGGCTGCTGGGTAATATGGGGAAATGGACAAGGGCCTCTTACTTTATCCCTGCGACACGCCGTAACCCTGAAACGGAGGGGCTGCCCCTGGTCAGGCCAGAATCAGAACGAACAACGTGGGTGGGACTCAAAGGCTGCCGTCGTGACTCTGAAGTGGCCACGAGCGGTCAGGCCTTTGGTTACAGGCGGAAAGCTCTACATGACTCAGCCTCATACTATGAAATGTGAAAGAAGAAGAAAACCACAGAATTTATCTTCATTTGGATCAGTTGAAGCTTTTTGTCTCTCCTTGAAATATGGCTTATTTGCATCATTTTTTTTTCTTTTAATGTTATAACGCAAACAAAAATAAATGTTTAATTTTGCTTTCAAGAAATATAAACATTGTACATGTAGTACACTAAGGGAGTCTCTTATGGTCAGGGGGAGCAGGGCATTGTGGGAAAAGCGCTGTGGCCTGGATGTGGCAAAGAAAGGCAGGAGGGGGGAAAACTGCCAATGAGGCAGGAATTTCACATTGGGTTAAGCTTGGAGGTGGAATTCCACCCAAAAAGTGTTTTCTTTGTCATAAAACAGTCTGGTTTCCAAAGTAAATGTTACCATGTGCACCTTGAACAGAGACCTAGCATGAGTCCCTCCCCCCCCCGACCAGAGCGGGATGCATTTATCATCTTTGTGCTGGATGGTCATAGGTCACGGCCTTTTGTCCTGCACGTCGTCTGTTTTCCAGATTCCTGGAACTGCCACCTGCCATGCGAGTTTCTGACACACTTTGTGATCCTCAATGTAGCTGCAGTTTAACAGACTTGTGTAAAGAGAATGGATACACGTCCCACTCGGGGTTCTCCTTCCTCCGCGGCTCACCAATCCTCTGCCTTATTAAGCTGTATGCGGCCTCAGCCGCCAAAAACGATGCTGGAATTTCATGGGACTGCCAACTCTCGTCCGAGCCGCGAGTAGAACAGGATCGTCCTGTTGCTCATGAGAGTGAGAAGCGTTTCTCGGTGTCGGGTGCTGTTGTGGAGAGAACAAGCACGGAGCGTGATCCGGTTTAATGGAATTCCCCTGTAGCTGTAACCGTAAGCTCTGTGGCGACACGCGTGTAAAAGCTGAGGCCCTCCTTTAGCCATGTTTAGCTAAGCAGCTGTCAGATTGAGCCGTCCGTGCACTGCCAACAAATCTCTTGGACCTGGCTGAGCTTGGCTAACGGGCTGCCCTTTCACCCCGAAAGCCGCCCGTCTCGAGCAGGGTCACGGCGGCCTGCTAGTCCTGAACGCAGACCAAACCGAGCCACACCCGCAACACAGGGCTCGTGCTGTCTGGAAGCAGACAGAACCTTGGCCAGTTCCAGCATCGGTGGGCCTGACAGGTATGTGAATCGGGAAAGCGGAGCATTGTTGGGTGATAGTCCATTTCGGGGGGGGGGCAAGCCTCCAGCCAGAGGAGGTAATTGGACTGAGATGTTAATGAAGGGAACAGATTTATTACGTGGACCTAGCACAATAAACACTCTTCATGTCTGACAATGAGAACAGAACCCAAAGACATTAATCCCAACAATCTACAACTGGTGTGTGTATGTGTGTGTGTGTGGGGGGGGTCTTTAGACACTCCCACACCTTGTGAAAACCTCAGGTCAACAAATTGTTTGTTTCCATAGGAACAAAGTCCTCTCCCCCAAGGAGCAATAAAGTTGGATCAGTCCAGCCTGCTAGCTGCAGACTCTGCCTTCCTTGCCCGGTGTTCTGTCTCGAGACTGTTTCAAAGCCCCCACCTTAAACCCCCCCCAGAAAGGTCACCCTCAGCATTGGAGGTGCGATAGCTGACCGTCTGAGCCAAGGCAGCCCGGCTCTGCAGGCATCTTTCTGGGTGACCGGCGGATCATTCTGGAAATGAGCTCTGGCGAGCCCTGGCTGGAATTCAGTACCTGGCTTCGGGTCCCATTTGTTCCCGTTCCCCAGTCCTGCACCAGTCACTCTCCAGTGTTACCAGTTCTGCTGGCCCAACTCAGCCAAACAGGCTACAGCAGCTTGTTCAGAAGGTTCCGGGTCTCTGATGCTGTCGATCAGGTTAACTATATATATTAGTCACCAAAATTGTGGATACACCTAGCATTTTTGGCATTACGCTTACAAAAATTACTATACAAATATTGGTGATGATGTTTCTAAACCGTCAAAGAATGTTACAAATATACACTGGACGATTAAGTAACTGGAGCAACAGTTGAATGTAGTTCTGCAGTTTCTAAAAACTGAGCGTGTTTCCACAATTTTGGCCACTAGAGTATATGGAGAATCTTCACTGTCACAGGTGAGGTGAAAGTGCACTCCCTAAGCGTCTGGCAGTAGCCGGGTCCTGCACCGTGGGTCTTGGTCACCCAATGGCACCGGCTCGGATACGGCGTGCCGAGACCCAAAACGGCGCTCGCACCTTGGCTCCGCTGGATTTACAGCCATGTTTCCTAGCAGTTATGGAAAGACCAGCTGGTTATGCGGACTGTTCCAGAAAGGGGGAGGTAAGGGAGAAGAAAACATGTAAGAACAAGGAACGGCATGAAAGCAGAGTGTCGTTTCACTGCGGTTTTCCCGGTACAGACACACATGATTTGCCTGCCCTCACTGAACCCCCTAAACCACCCCCCCCCCCATGCTAATTCATTTTAAAGCCCTGAAGCAATCTGCCACGTTATCTGTCAACCTTGTGTGTGTGTGTATTTATAAAAATAAAATATTTACACGCACAATTTTGGAAATGAGCTATTAAAATTACTTAACATGTCCCAAATGATGTAAAGTATCCTCCACGTTCAGTGAGCTCGGGTTAATTGTGTTTGCAGCGCCGGGATGATTCCCGGAGCTCCGACTGGAACCTGGGCAGGGAGACGGCTTGGCCACCGTAGGGCCCCGCTGTGTGCTCCCAGACAGCGGGGTGCCGGGGCTTCGGGATGTGGGGCTGTCTTTGACGTGGGGAGGCCAAGCCCCCGGCCGCTAGTCACACACACAAATCTCAATGTAAATAATGGCATCAGGGGACTGGCGCACGGGCCTGTGGTGCAGGAAGCTGGAAAAAGGCTACCCCCCCTCCCGCAAGTCTTTTTCCAATTTTATTTTGAATGAGCCACTTTAGAGAAAAATAGGTTTGGAAAAGGATGGTTAAGATGGAATAGCACAGTGCCTCTAATTCAATATCCTTCACACGGACATGCAATCACACACGCAGCAGACAGTAGGGATCCGTACCGGAAGTCGTGCTGTTTGCTTGGTTCTGACCACAGACGTCAGCCAATGGACACGCAAAGTTTCAGAACGCGACCGACGTCACGCTTAGACGATGCTTATTTTCCCAAGATGCGGAGCTGGTACTTATGTTGGAGTCGGCGAGGGGGTGGGACTAGGCTGCAGTGTTGACAGGGTCCTGTTTGGCCAGCAGGATTAGGCTCTGGGGCAGGGGCAGCCCCGTGATTGGATGGGTGGGTGGGTGGTGAGTGGTTTATGGGCAATCAGAGAAGCACCCACTTCTGTACTCTCCTGGTCCTGAATTCTTCTCCCTTTCCTTGTCTTTCTCATCGACCGTTTGCTTTGGGTACCCAGTGGAACCCCAAATGCACGTTGGCATTGTGAGCCCCCCCCCCCCCCCCCCCATTAAACGTGCAGCAGAATTAGTGTGGGCCTTTCTCTGGGGGATTAGAGGATGGACTGGGGGGGAGGGCAACCCTTCTCACTGGGTGCTGTCAGAGAGATTCATCACACTAACCCTTTTGGGGGTGGGGGTGCTGCTGCTTTCAGTATCTTCCTTGTACTAAGATGGGGGGGGGGCTGGGATATGAGGAGGGGGGTGTCGGTACACCCTGGTGAGGGCTAAGGAGTTCAGCCTCTTTGGTTTTTCATTGATGTCTAAGACGTTGGAGGCCATGACTGGAAGTTGGATGGAGAGAGATCAGGCGGGTTAATGGAAAGGAGATGAGAGCAGGCTGTCAGAACAGGGTAGGAGTGTAGCCCTGTGCTTTCGTGCTGTAAGTCCCGAGCCAGCACAGGCCTATTCTGTGAATCACGAGGTGGGGGTCACCTGACGAGGCGTGTTCCAGCGTTTGGACACGTTGTGATTCTGCATATTTCCGCACACTGCTCAACAGCGCCACCCCGAGGCCAGGGCTGCACCTTGGTGCTGTGCTCCTGCAGCTCTCTCAAGATGGTGCACAAGCAGCCCCAAAATGCCCCTAAGAGGAACATTTCGCCCATCTGACCTGCTACTTTGTCTTCCTAACGCTAGCAAGTTCTCTGATTTCCAGATTTTTGGAAAATTAATACTAATAATCAACGAAAATAAACTCAGCAATTATGTAAAAACAGTCACTGGCGACTGTATAAATGTTTATCCAGCCGTAACAGAAAATATTTTCCTAAAATATCGCTGCTGTGTCTTTGGGGTGCTGGATCTCCGTCCATCATGAAAACCCAAATCGAAAACAGGCCTCTGAGCCCAGTCCCAATCGCTTCTTTTGTTTCCTGCTTCTTTGGATTTTTAACGTGATTATTGGTCTTAAAACCCCCTGCCTTGAGCTGGGGGGGTAAAGACAGGTTGGGGCCACATTTATAGCCATGCCCAGAAAATGCTATGTGCAGGGTGACGTGGGGGTGTGAGTCCAGGTCTGTATTCCGCAATTTCTCGACCTGAATCCCACTCCCCATACCTGCCACAGCCCCCCCCCCCCCCCCCCCCCCCCCCCCCCCCCCCCCGACCCCATAAAGTCCAGGTGGAATCTTTGACTCAGCCCAGCGTCTCAGCTTGTCCGCGGCTGTTCCTGAACTGCTCATCCGAAGGGTACGTGACGAGTGGTCCATTTTGAGGATGACTCATCAACCCCCCCGACCCCCAGGAGCCCAGTCCCCTCTTCCAAACCCTGCGGCAGTGTTCTGGCTCCCCCGTGCACATGTATATTCGCAGAATACTGATGCCCACAATGCAAACTGGGGGCAGGCGGACCGGCCGCAGAACCGGAGCCCTGCTGTGCCCAGCTTCAATGCCCAAGCCCCCCCACCTCAGACTTTACCCCAGTTCTTAGCCATCCTCTTTAATACACAAAATTAACTTTTTATGTCAAGTTTCAGGTGCTAATGGCCACCAACCCCTTCCCTCCGTGCTGTTTTTAGAGACACCGTAAACCCTGACCCAATGAATGCTTCTCTTGTTGCTTTGGGAGCGCCTGGCATCGCCACGGCAACCTGCTGGGCCTGAGGGAGGAACTGGCTTTGACTTTACTGGACCAGAAAAATAATACCTGTACAATTAGACTGATAAAACGACAGATATTTACAACTTACTGGGCCTATGAAGGGATCCAGCAGGGCTGGCAGTCTAAGCGCTGTTTTTCTTACTGATTCATTTCATGTTTTTTTTCCCCCTCTCTATATTCCTACGAACAAAATACATATAAAGAGCATTTCTTAAATATTTTCATGTTTTCAGTATGGGTGTGTGTGTTTTAGAAAATTTATAATAGCACACACGGTGGAAAAATATCTGCATTAGTAGATCTTTCTTTTTTACGCTCCCCTTGCTCTCTCCCTCTTTCAGGGAGGAGGGACTCGTTCTCATCCTTCATTTTCTTTGGCTCTCGTCTCTCCACAAAGCCCCTTGGACTTTTCTTCTGATGGTCCTTGTTTGTTCCTCCCGGTTCTTTCCTCCCTGTGTTCCTAGTTTTTTTGTTGTTGTTATAACGCGTTGTTAATTACTTTCAAAATAATAGTCATTCCAATGAAGCGTGAGCAGTTTTTTTATAATTACCACGTTTGTTGTTAATTGTTTCTCATATAGGCATGCAGCTGCTTACAAATTTAAGATGATTGCAATGTTGTTGTTATTTTATGAAATGACGCTTTGTTTGCCATTAGCACACATGCAGGTTAATTGGCATGCTTATTTCACATGTCCCGTCACACACACATGTACACGCTTACATACAGAAGCTTGGGGACTAAGTGCATGGTCAGGCCATTCATCTGACATCCCAAGAGCTTTTTCGCAGTTAAGGGCCCAATGGACATTTTTTGACATTTTTTTTTTTGACAATTCAGCCAAGGATGAGATTTTAGAGGGGCCTTCTTCCAATCACAGCCACAGAGTCCTAGCTGAGCCTCTGTAGCCATGTCCTGATTAGCTGTCCAGATCCCTTGTTTAAGAGTGGCACAATTTCTATAATAGACTCCTCCAACCTTAGCCGGCAGCCCCTGGAGCCATTCTGGCCTTGCATACACAGGCACATGCTAAGTGGCAGGCTGGATTAGGGGATGCATTTTAGAGATTTCAGAAATGCTTTGAAGTCCACGTTGCGTCACGATCTCTTAAGCCCGGTATTTACAGGGGTGACAAATGCGTGGAATGGGGGCCTCATGCCAGGGCTGCCTTTGTAGACCCTCCCCACGTCCTTAACTGCCCTGTCACTCTCTGCCACCGGGCTCCCATTGTTCAGGACCTCTCCGGCTGGCCATTCGCATGCGACACGACCCCTCATTCCGTCTGGATGCCTTTACCGCCATCCAGTGCGGCTCACGGCGCCGGGGTGTTTGTCGGACACCCTTTCTTCGCCCGCTTTACTCACCCTGTGTTCATCCTCGGCCAGCATTCCGATCGCTCGCACGCCAGTCAACGACCTGGCTAATTACTGACAGTACTCACACCCCACGTCTGTTCCCCGCGTGAAAAAAACAA